TGCTCTGGGATGACCTGCTGCAGGCAGGGAGTGTCAAGCCCAAGAGGCATTTTCCTTCCTGCTCCTGTGGTTCCCGGAAAAGGCAGATTCAGCTTCTGAACACGTCTACTGTGAGGGCACCCTCTGCAGCTGGCAAAGCCCCCCAGCTGCAGGAGGCACCTCTGCAAGGCCCCTGGCAAACTCTTCAGGCCGTTTGCCCTGGAGTGACTGTGGTTGCCAGCTGTACAGATTTCCTTCTATATTTCCTTCTTTCCTTCTATATTTTCTTCCTATAGCCAGCTGTACAGATTTCCTTCAGACTAATTTGACTGCCTCTGCCTGAGGGCTACCTGTCCCCTAGGCATCGACGGGAGACCCCTGCAGAGAACATGTCATTTTGGGGGACATGAGAGAGCTCCTCATGGCGCTACCCCAGTGCGAGGGAGCAGGAGCAGCAGAGGCTCTGCGTTTAGTAGGCCACTGTTTCTATTAATGCTCTCTGTGAATAATACCCCGAGAGCCCTAAGATGTCTAAGCAGGGGGGTTAAGAGGTTTGTGTCCTCCCACTCTAATGTAGGCCACCCAAACTCTTGCTCCACATAGGAGCATGTGGAAATTTTCAACCTTCAAGACAATCTCTTCCATTCCACTTTGCCCTCTTACCAATACCTGTTCTCACTAGAAAGAAAGTATGCAAGTTTGTTTAAAGCTAAGATAATTAGTCAGTAGAAGAGATGACGAAGAACCTGGTCATTCTAACAATGTAGAAATCTAGCTACTCTACTGGAGATAGAAATTAATTCAGGGCAGTTCTATGACCTACTGCAAGTCTCTTCCAGCTTTATTTTTTGGGGAGAAGTCTTTAAATCTGGTCATAGGAGCTGTTATTTTGAGAGCCTTTGCTGTATTTCCATAGTGGGCAATGAGAAGGGATGTTTTCCGAGCTCACTGTTCCTCTAATATTCCAGCACAGCTTAGGGGGAAAAAAGCCCACAAGAAAAAACATTGGCACAGATGACTGCTTATGAGTGGTGTTATTCACCATATATATATGGTTATCACAGGAACACTTGCTGGTAGCTGCACTGACATGGGCATCTTGTGAAAATAATAACGATATTAATAATAATTAATAGCCAGTTTTCAACCACCTAAAGAGAAAACGGACTCTATCAAGGAAGAAAGATTTCCACTGCTGCATTACAATGAACTCTGACAGGACAGCGACCACTTTGTGTCCCAATATTGAACACAGTTAGAGAAAAGGCACCTCTGAGGTACTGTTCAGGGAACAGCTGATGGCAGAAATTAATGCAAGAAGCTCACCTGGCTCTATGGCAGAGTGTTTTTAGGATCTCCTTCCTGTCTGTACTCTAAGAAAGAGCATTTCAAGACTGCCACTGCTTATGCACATGGAACTCAAACCTCCAGACCTTTGGGACCCAAATAAGTCTTTATGCATTGGAGAGATGTATACACTGCATTTAGCTATGTCTTTCCACACTCACTAACTTCAGAATTCACGCATTGATTTTTCATATCAAAAAATCACAAACCACTGTGCTTATTTAAAAAGCCATTGAAAATATGGCATTCACTGGCAGGCAGTCTAACCTCAGCAACCAGAGAGGCAAAATCTAAACATTTCCTATTGCTCTAAAGCGACCTCCTACTTCCTGATTCACCATCATTGCGCTTTTCCCTATGGTGGCTTAATCTGCCCAGGAAAAGGTATTGCTTTCTGCTGTAGACACTGTTCATGGATCTGTTCTACCTCTCCACTGGGGAAAGCAGAGCCAGCCCATCTGCAGGCTCAGCTGTCCGTGGACAGTATAAGACTAAAAGCAAGAAGCCTGTTACTATGTCAGCAGCAAGTTCAGCTCTCCTTTCATATTGAAATATTCCTTTAAAACTTTTTTTTTTCACAGATTTGGAGTAGTCATTTGTGCTAGTCATTTTTGTACAGTATGAGAAAATAAAATATCATACAGATGAAAAATAAGGAAATTTAAATTGGTCAAATTGGTTAAACTTTCCGGGAAGTCTTTACGAAATACTATATATTTCACAATTATGAAGCAGTACTAGTCTTTGCTACTTTCAACATAGAGAATTAAAAATATTTTAAAATAAATAAATAGAGGTTAAAAGTACATTTTCTTAGTAATTTGCAAACCAAAATAACAACATCTTCCTTTTTCTGGTTTGCTTATGGTTTATTGCAAAAGGCTTTAGAAGAAAGGAAAAAGACAGAGAAAAGAAAGGCTTTAGTCATTTAATCATTTAATTTAGTCTTTTTTTTTTTCAATTTATTACTAAGACTGGAATAGCCTTCTGTTTGGGGATTGGGTTTTTGTTTGTTTTGCACCAAACTGTATTTTCATACCAAGGTTTTTGCATTAAGTTAAAATATATTACACAGCTTGCATATTTAAACCAAAGGTACAGATCTTCTAACTATGCAATGATAACTACATTTCGAGATGGTGTCACCAGTACTTCTTTCTGTTAGCTCTCCTTAGCTTTCTTCTGCGAAATGGGACTGTTGCCAACCTTGGTGCACAACAGATGCATCTTGCACAAGAGCCCTCCACCCAGCAGAGTTTGATCTCAAATGCTACAAGAGAAGATCTAAGAGGCAGTTGAGGTCAGATGTTACAGAATAAAATCCTAAATTCTGTCAGACTACTAGTACTGTCAATGCCAAGAACAATGCCCTGCGCAACAGAAAAAAAGTACAAAAAACACATTAATCTTTAGCCTTGCAGCCCAAGTATCTTGTTTGATAAAGGGTATCGCAGTGGTTTTCTAGAGAGAATGGAATTCTCTGAGCATGTGTATTTATTCAAGCTGTTTTTATTTGCTTTTCTTTAGAAATACAGCAAATTATTTTGAGCATACATGTACACTTAAGCTGTCCAGAGGCATGATTAAGGATTTTTTGTAAAAGCCAGAAACACAGTATGGCCTTTTGCAGCGGTGTTGACAGGAAGGTGACAAACTAGTCAAAGTAAGAGATTTTTTAAATTTTATTTTATTGAACTATGAGTACAAGTATTTGGTATGTAAATAAATGTGTCGAATTTAATAAACTTGTAAATCTGCAAGACAGGTAACAACATTGTTTTATTCATTCCTGTAAGCTAAGATAAACTGCAAAATAGCTAGAAGGGAGACATTTGCTTGGGCATCTCCTGCTCTGCATCTTACCATAACTCCTGCTTCGAAATGACCCATGAAAATCAAATCAGACACTGTAGGAATCCCATGCAAATTAAAGTAGACTGGAACAGGGTTGGGCACTGCTGCAACTCTCATTTTCTGTGTCACAGAATCACAGAATGGTTGCGGTTGGAAGGGACCTCTAGAGATCATCCAGTCCAACCCCCCTGCTCTAGCAGGGACACCCAGAGCACGTGGCACAGGGTGGCATCCAGGCGGGTTTTGAAGATCTCCAGAGAAGGAGACTCCACAACCTCTCTGGGCAGCCTGTTCCAGGGCTCTGTCACCCTCACAGGAAAGAAGTTCTTGCTCACATGGAGGGGAGTCATTTAAGCACATGCATAAGAAGGTGGATTTAGTTTCAGACCCCACTCATCTATTCAATACGCTGTCTCTTCATCCAAGACAGGCATACAGACATAAGTAAAATGTCACACTGCAGATCAATGAAAACAGTAGCCTATGCGTAAAATAATCTTGGTATTATTATTTTTAAGTTTACATTACACTTTTTCTTCTTATAAATTATTTTAAATTCTATGCTTGCTCCTTCTAATTCAATCTCTAAATTCCATTTAAATGCAGCCTTGAGTAGCTCTGTGCACAGCATTTTAATACAAAATGAATATACATGGGTTATTATGTTACTCCTGACAAGTAAGATTCACTTATATAATGTAAACATTGAAGCAAGTAGCTTTATGTACAAATCATATGAATACATTAAAGTATGATAATAGAGATGCATAGCTCAAGGATGTAAAAAAAATGCAAGCAGGTCCTTTGCATAGATCCTGCATCCAGAAATATAGCAATTTCCTACAACAGAAGTCATCCTTAGGTTGCTGAGGGAATTTGTAGCACTTCCCCCCAAGCCAGCATTTAAGACCACTTCTCAAAGGCTATAAATTTCCTCAGTATGAGGAGCTCCTTGGCTGAATCATTGCTATGAATCATTGCTATGAATCTCCTGAGGAGCATAATGTAAGAGGCGGAGGAACACAAGGGTTTGGGGAGCTCCAGGACCTCCTCCCTGCCCAGACCAAAACGCAGCACTGACTGGGGAAGTGCAAACACAGGTCTTCAAACTGGCTGGCATGGAGATATCTGACATTCAAAGGCAGACCTCAGACACAATGTCTGACTGAGAAAAGCATTGTTTTGATCAGGGGCCGGTTTCCAACTCAGTCCCAAACTTGCTACGGCTGCCAGCAGCTTTCAATGCTGCTTCATGACTTTGACCTCAAAACACAACGCTCTGTAACTCATCCCTCCTCTTCCTGCCTCCCCTTCCTCCATCTCTAAATGCCCTGAGCTGCATTAATGGAAGTTTAAGATTACACTTACAGATTATTTTTTAAAGGGAATATCTGCCTGATTTAGAGAAATCTCAGGTGATCCTTCCCACAAAATTTCTGTCTTTGAGCAACGCATCAACATGTTCAGCTCATTGAGCTGCCACTAGCCCATTTTGTGAAGCTGATCAAAGGAACCACCAGATTCTTTCTACAAATAGTGATTTCAGTTGAGAAAGCAGAACAAAACAAAACAAAGAGAAAAGAAGAGAAAATTATATCTGTCACATATGGGTTTGCTGTGATAGCTGGGATTTTCTTTCAGCTGTAAAACCTCCGTCTTGAACATGATTCCCTTCCTAAAAAGCCCAGCTTTTGGCACTGTTTCCAGGAATGAGGCCTCTATTGCTATCTAGCCCAAAATATTCCTGATTTTTTTTCAGTAGACATGATGCCTAGGTGACCCGTCAGATAATAATATCTCTGTCATGTGTCTGTTTTTAGGAGCACCTGAAAGCTTTTGACCGAGAAGTAAATGCATTTGTGGACTATATGTTTGGACCTCGAGGTAAGTTGCTCCAACAACAGAATATTTCTGAAAATATTCTTAGGATTTCAGCTTTTCATCCTACTCCAGATAAAAATGAATCCTGAATTTCTCATTTTTCCTGAAAGTAGAAGTTCTGCTTCAGGACCGATTCTCATTAATAAGCAATTATTGTGTGTTCCAGCATCCTAGGAAATGGGACAATCCAGAAGGATGCTCAATGCGACAGCAAAGAAGGGGTCTCAGCATCCAGGAAGACCATGTGCGAAAAAAGCTCAGTAAAACAAGAGGCAGGGTGGGCAAACAGTTGCACTTTTCTTAATCTTGCTTTCTAAAACCATGCAGACTAGAATTGCTCACACAACTACAGTGATACTTCAGCAGAGCTTACAGATGCCCTGAGCTCTGTTTGGCCTGAAGCAGAGTAACAGTCATGCCGGAGGAGTTAGAGCCAGGGAAAATGGAACTGAAGTAGGCCCAGAAAAAGGAAGAGAAGGGCTATGGCAAGCTGAGGGCAGATTGTCAAAGTCAGGGCTAGTGTTACAAGTGTCATAGGGGAGAGAAAGCAGCTGAAAGAGGAAGGCAGACTTTGACCTCCCAAGAAAGTCTTGATGCTGGTGGAGCTGAGTTTATATTTTATTCAGTGAGCCCAGCCTCATGAAAAGCCCTGCAAACCTGCAGAAAGGCCAGAACTGTTCCCCTTCTTTCTCTCCCTGACTTTCATCCAATCTACACATTTCTTTCATCAGCAAGAAGACCTAAAATGGAAGGTACTGGCCCTGGGTTCTTTTAAAGACCATCCCACATGTACAGTTTATGTCTTACATAGTATCTCCTGAAATAACACTGTCATTGTGCTAGTTATAGTGGCTTAGGCTACAGAAGGAGAAAGAAATGGCTATAGCTAGTTCCTGGAGGCAATTTCTCACCGTATGAGTAGTTATCATTAGTATTAACATAGGCCACAGTGCTGCACTACTGGAGTAAGAGGTATACTATCATAGATTTGATCATGGTTTAGATATAAGCCTGCTTTGGGCCTCCATCTGTCACTGTCAGCAGGGTTCTGTACTCAAATTTACTACAGCTTTTGCTTTTGAACTAACATACCAAGTCCTTTAGTTTAGGTAATAGAGGCCACATGCATGCCCATTGGTTTCATCTCGTAACAAAAAGTTAAAAGTTTGTTTGGTGCTGGTCCATGTAATATTATCTGGACTCAAGACAACATGCACGAAAGGGGAAAAGACATGCTGTTCTCTAAAAAAGCATTTTTTCCAGAGCTTTCCTGTTCTTCAGGGTACTTTTTGGTTTTATGAGAGGTTGAGAAGAAACATAGAATTGCAATAAAGAAATCTATCTGATTACTTGCTTTTTTTTTATCCGTTGAAGAAACAGAAGTGGTTGAGAACAGATATATTTCAACAAAACTATGATAAACTATCTCTGCTCAGCCTTGATACAAGACTGTTCAGCCTCAGCACCTCTAAAGTTCTGAATCTGACTTAGAGACCAGCTGGCCAAAGCTGTCCAGAAACCCTGAATCAGAAAGTTTCTAACCCTCACTGATAAAAGCTTGGTACTTCTAAAGGCCTGGGAGGCCTGCCACTGATCTCAGGGGAGCCAAGACTTGATCCCAAGGGTCTGGCACATGATGGCCAGCAACCCTGAATGAGCTCATTCAAGAAGCCATCAGAGCTTGTGGGCGCCTTCCCAAGTTGTGGTCCAGCACTTCCACACTGCAGCTTTATTCACTGCCTTGGTCCTGAGTTCAGATGCTGTATGGGTTCAGTATAGTACAACCAATACTTTCTATCATTATTAATTTATCCTATTGATATGGACCTTTTATCTTACTTGAACGTGGGGTAACCTACTGTCAGTCAACAGATGTGCTTTTGATCTCTCTTGATCTTCTGATAACTTTTTTCTTTTTTGAAGTACATTTCCTTTTCTACCCCTCCGTGCCACATAAAAAATCTACTTCTTTGTGTTATCCAAGAATAATGTAAGTGGAGACAAAGCAGTGTGGATCTTCAGGTTGCCATTTGTACACCACTTCACTAATAATGCCAATACTCTTGATAAATTGTCTGGTCAGGGCCAGAAATTAATCACTAAGGAAATATGTTTTAATAGTTTATGCTGGAGCTTGAAACAGAAATAGTATAGATGTTAAATACGCTGATCCGAACAAGCACAAGGAGTTCTGCTTTTGTATCCCACATTCTTCTACCCACTCATGACGAAGTGAAAACTAGCTTTCTGGGGGCATACCAGGGCAGCATTCAATGCTGTTTTGTTTAATTTGTCATCTCATTTCTACCAGTTACTTTCTCTCTTTGAGCAAATACACTGTTTTGTTACTCGTGGATGCCAACTGGCCTTTGTGCAAATAACCTTTATGCACCAAATGTTGAAATCCTTCCCTGGTGTCAGGTAGGGAGACCCTTCTCTAAATAGCGGTCTTGCTGAAATTTCTTCTTTCTTACAGTGTAACAGACACTGGGAAACAAGCTGGGAAGTGGAGGGGGGCTGAAATCATAAAGAACGCAGTTCTGTTCATAAGGAAATTACTCTAAATCTTGTAAAGTCTCACTTTACCTATCTGTATGCACATATTTACAAGAAAAGAATATTCTTGTTGGCAAAGTATTGTTGCAAAGTATAACAGTTTATAAATGCTCGATCACACTTGGTTTGTGCATCCTTCATTGCCTAGTCCTTCCCAAATTTAACTCAGTAGAAGCAGTAAAGCTGTTTTTCATGTCCTGTGAAAACCTTTATCTTCTATTACAATTTTCAACCTAATCTTTGTTTTTGTAAAAAGTAAAGTAAATAACTTAAAACAGTTCTAAGATCAGATGGAACTACTGTGACTGTGCAATAGCCTTTCACTGAGTGATTCTTCACTTAGTTCGTAACATATGACATATTCATAGTATCCTTTCTGAAAAACTATACAAACCTGAAGGTGAAAAACACCAATTCATTAAATGAATAGATATGATTTAATTAAATATTAAGTTAAAGAAAAAAGTGCACAAATCTTGTCTTCTTTTCATTTTCTTTGTTCTATTAAAGAGAGTTAAGTGATCTCAGATCATTAGCAAAGTTAATGTGGTTTTCACCACACATATTCAAAATGAGTATGTTCAATTGGGGAGTTGAGTATAACAGATAGTTCCTGAAGTCTGCAGGTCATGGCAGGCTCCTCCTTGTGCTTTTAGCAGCTCTTTTTGCAATGTAACATGCCCTACTTTAAGCAATGCTTTGGCAAAAGCTTTTTAATTGCCTGGTGCATGTGTTTCTTTCCAGACACCAGGGTTAGAGGATGGTTCCTTCTGGACTCTTACCTTCCCACGTTTTTCCTCACTGGAGCATACCTGCTCTCCATATGGCTGGGCAACCGGTTCATGAAGAACAGGCCGGCTTTCTCACTCAGGGCTCTCCTCGTTGTATATAACCTTGGGATCACGCTGCTGTCCTTGTACATGTTCATAGAGGTAAGTGTAGAGCAATATACTGTTTTTAACAGAGTTATCTTAGCAATAGATAGTCTTGCTATGACATATATCAGCAGCAGCGAAGCAATTTAACACCAAGAAAAGTTCCTGAGAAGGTTTGGTAGTTGATCAGTGACTTGTACAGTATCTTCTCATCTTACATTTCACCATATTTTAGTTGAGCAGCTGCTCAATTCAAATACATCACGCGTCAGCATCCATGAATATGCCAAAGGATTGGGATTATATGAATATCTGTGGATTGTGTGAATATCTGTGGAAGGTTGTTCTTTGAACAAATGGCCATTTTATAAACGTGAACAGATTTATGTAGGAGAACAAGTACTGAGTTATTTACAGAACTGGCAATTCAGGGTTATTGTGGAATACTCCAGCATCTACAACCTCCCTTAAAATCACAGCATCAGCGTATGGAGCCCAGAAAAGTCACTTCCCCCAGAAGTGAAAATTAAGGTGAGGAACAGAATCTAACCATCACTGCATTGATAATATTTGGAGCTCCCCATTTTAACCCTTGTGATAACGTAGGTACTTTTAATATTAACTTGTTATCATCCCTTGCTTGTAACCCTAAAAAGTACATTCTAAAAGGAAAACAAACAAACAAAAAAACACAAAACTTTTTTCTGCCTTGACTTACAAGGTGACCCAGGAAATGAAAAGGTTGTCCTGGCTGAAGGATGCCCTTGATTTTGCGGTGTGATTTGCAGAGGTGTGAGCTGACATTGCAGCCTTGCCTGGCCAGCCCTCTCAGCATTTCTAGCTTCTCAGGCTTCTGGCCACAACAATGATTTCCATGAGAAACACAAGCACTGACTGTTCTGTCAGCAAGGCAAGAAATTTTGCTTTTCTAAGAAGCCACATGGAACACCAAATATTTCAAGCCTTAAATGAATTTGAGATAAGTTTCAGGCGACTGGCCTGGTCAAAAGGCCGAGCAGCAGTTTATGTTTGTGCCTTCTCACCAAGGACCTCCCTGTGGTGTGCAGAGCTTTGGCCTGGCCAAAGCTCTACCCACTTCAGCAGTTGCTCTGGGCACTGGAGGGTGCAAGAGCAGACCCAGGACCAAGGAGGAGCAAGCAGAGTCCCAGTTGCTGGAGGATTTCATGACTCCATACTGATCTGCTCCAGACCTGAAATCAGCACTAAAGTGGTTAAATCCCCATTCTGTTTGAAGGTGTACAGATAACTGCTAACTCCAGTAGCAAGGATCAAAGAAAGGGCTAATTGCATGAAAACAAAAACGAAAAAATACTCTCTTTTCCCCTTACAGTCCAATTTGGATTTTCCCAAGCAAATGAATAAAGGAAAAGAGTAAGGGCAGGTCTGGCTTATGTGAGTGGAGTAAATCAGGTTTTAGCCACCTTCATGTCCTTGTAGGTACTGTGTTGAGTCAGCTCCTATTTCCCTGCCCTGCTCCTGTTTCCTGAGTCTAACTTTGCTGATGGTGATTGCTGAGTTGTGCAAGCCCTCAGATTACCCTTGGCTCTATCACTGGAGGCTGCTGGGGGCAAGTGACGTTTTGCATTTTTCAGGAACACAGAAAACACAAAGTCTGATGCTCTTGATGCTTTGTCCACTGTGTTTTTTTTTTTTTAGATTGCACTCTCAGTTCTGGTCTGTCCACCAGGCTGGTTTCACACTCTACAAGCCCCTCTTTCACAATAGCAGCTCTGTAGTTTTTTGTATTTATCTGGTTTCTGTTCATGGCTTTTGCTCTGAAGGAGCAGAATAGAAGTTGAGGCTTGCAGCCCCATATGAGGTTGCTTGTGCATCACTGCTGAGGAAGAATAGGCAGAAGTCATTTTCACTAGGTTGTAAAGTTATGATGAGTTAACATTTCAAAATGTTTCATGGCAAAAGGTTTTTTTTTTTTAATGGATCCTGCTCTCTGTCTTTTGTCAACTGTAAGCTCTTTAGCACAGGAGTTAACTGTGTTTAGAGCAGTCTGCTCAGTGATGTTATATGTAAAAGCAGTTGATTTCTCCAGTGAGTTTGTTTCGGGGTTAATTCCTAATTAGAGAGCTCTGTAACAACAGTCTTATTCCTCCATTCTCCCATTTCACCTCCACCCCTCTAATCTATGTTATGGATTAGCCACAGAAATCGTCTTGTCTCATATTGGTTTTCTTTATAAGACACAACTTTTCTTCATGTTATCTCCAGAATGGAGTGCTTCCTAGACATTCAAAGGAAAAAAAAAAATAGTCCATATTAGGGTGCATCACCACTGCAGGCTATCCGCTATATTGGTTTTAATGAGAAACCGGATAAACCAACTTATGGAGGACACACATACTGTCATATATCATCTCCTCACTGTGCTTGAAATGGCTTAGCTATCTGTTGCCTACAGTGGAGTCATACAACCTCACAGCAGGAAGAGAAAGGTTATAGCAGAGTCATAACAAAGTGACTATGCTTTAAAATTTCCAAGGGCAGATCCCCTTTTATGCCAGAGCTCCATGTATCATGTGATGGTCGTGAAGGGGCTGGGAGTGAGTTTTAGCTCCATTAAGTCCTTGAAGACCATCAACTTCTCAGATATATTGAAGAACATCACCAGGACAACTGTGAAAGGTGTCACTGGCGTGGGATCAGAAAGCATCCCCACTATCCCCAAAGAAAAAGGTCTCAAGAAGGAAAATTGTGCCCAAATCTTTTTTTTTTTTTTAATTTGCGGGGTCCAGAGAGAGAGCTGTGTGCCTTTGAAGGTCTCCCAGAAGGAGAGTCTATCAGGCATTAAATTAGATGGATTTTCTTGAAGTCTTCAAAGGGACCCACCTCTTGCCATTGAGTATAATGGCGGTGCGAGGCACTTGTCTATGGAGCACAGCTTTCTCAGTTACCTAACATTTAAACACAAGTAATGTGCCTACAGGAAGGGTGCAGGGGACTCCTCCACCCCTGCCACTACAGGGTAGTGCTCCAGTAAGCATCTGTCCTTGGGTATATGTGCTTCTGAAGCATTAAGTGTCCACAGTCCAGATCAAGACTACTGATACAACACTTGCCAGAAACATTGCCAAAAATTTGCACAAAGGAAAACAACCATCACCATTTTTAATAAAAAAATGACACTTTTAACAATTTTACTAGAAATATACCTTTTCTATACACAAATCTCTGTCTGAGATCTTCGAAGAACAAGCTATAATCAGAAAGACCACTCAGTGACCAGTAGCATCGTGTCTGTCCCAGAAGTGAACTCGGCCAGTCATCAAGCTCTCATTCAAGCTGTTTTGTCAACCAGGCACTGGAACACCGGGCACTGTGTGTGTCAAATCAGAAAGGAGGTCTACAGATGTATTTCATTAATGTGTAGGTAACATGGTTGCTAAAACTGCCTGCTCCCTTGCGTAGCTTCACAGACATACTATAAATGCAAAGGAATGTAAGTGAGCAACCATTTGCATGTTGAAAAGGAGGGCTTGCATACAAGATCTCTTGATTTGGAGCAAAAATCAGTGCTGCCTGCAGATACCAAAGGGATATTGCACAAGTGGAAGGCAGTAGAGGACGCAAGTGAAGTTTTAGTAGCGCAGGCGAGGATGAAAGGTAGGGAAAATGTAAGTCCTGGTTGTTTGCAACTGTCCTGGAATTTCACTATGTCAAACCGTGCATTATTAACTTCAACATAATACTTTACAAAAAAAGACTCCAACCAATGGTTGCCAGTTCTTAGTGAATTGCCTAGAAGTTATCAAATTTATAATTAGCAAAAAAAAGAAAATAATAACTCTAGATCCATAAGGACTGATGCTTCAGTAAGGCTTCATTGAAAGTAGCATAAATCTTGGGGAGTGAGAGAAGATCAAAGTGGGAGGAGCAATCAGGTGCACTGTTCTATCATCTCGAGAGAAGATCGAAGCGGGAGAACAGAAGCAATCAGGTGCACTGTTCTATCATCTGGAGGAAAGGAGCAGCGAGAAAAGGAGAAAGACCTAAACAGCAAAATGTCACCATTTGCATTTGATAAGCATTGAATAGAACTGGTTGGAAGTTTCTCAGCAATATATGTCACCTTTTGAAGGAGTTTTCATTGACAGAAACTAAAATTTCCTTGTCAAAATTCATCTAAGAAGGTGCTCTTATTTTTGACGCCATGGTATGGACTTCTTGACCTCAAGATAATGAGAAAACATTATACCTCTTTCTCCTCCCTGCAAAATACGCTATCCTCCTAGTTATGCCTGGTCAGGCTAAGAGAGACCTAGCGTGGATCCAGCTGTATGCATTGCCTATCAGGGTATTGATCCTCAACCAATGTATAACAGAATTAGCAAATATTTTATCTGGCCCACCAAGCAGTTAATTATTGGATATCTAACTAGGCCAAAAGAAGAAATGAAGAACCTTACCTAGGAGAAGCATTCTTGTTAAATTTCTGTCCCCATGAAGATCTTGGCTGCTTCATGGAGAGGGCCAACAAAATATTTTTATGTGAAAACTCTAGTGCAGTATTTCCTATTCAACAGCTGTCTGGTATGCCGTCAGTACTAACTAATGGTACAACTGGGAAAAGTGAGGCACTGACCAGTTGGCAAGGTTGGGATAAGGCTCCTGGAATCCCCTATCTTCAGTCTTAGGTTGAATCATCTATCCCCAACCATTTCCTTACGTAGTATATAGTCTTGTCAGACTACAGCTTATTTAAGGTCTTCTTATTGCCCTAATACAGCCCACACTTGCTCAGTCTTTGCATGCTTAACAATACTATTGACTGTGCAGAACTGGGGAAGTGCTCAACGTGTGGAAGGGAGGACAACTAAAATAATGAAAGTAGCAAACAACTTTGCTCTCAGAGAAAAAGAGACCCTGGATGTGGACGTTTCATATCAAAGTACCAGTTTCTGTGCCAGACACACAGCTGGCTTGTTTAGGACCACACTGCATAGACAGGTGACTGACAAGCTGAAGCAGACAGGAAGCTGGTTAAGACAGCGTCCAAATTGAAAGCAACCCACTTCTCACAAGTGCTTGCAACTCTGCTTGCAGCACAACGCTAAAATTGTGCTTCTACTCACTGCAGAACCTGCATCATCTGTGGACAGGGACCCCGAACTATGAATTCCTTGATTTAGCCCTGAGAAACACTGTTCACATATTCAGAAGTAAGCAAGACCTTCTTAAATAAACACTTGGCTTCATAGCATGTACGGATAACGGATTACATTCCCTATTTCAAAGGGGCTGCTGATTGCTGTAGGTGATTGTTACTGTGTAAATATCCCACCAAAGAGCCAGCACACAGCTTTCCAGAAACCTTCAGCTTCAGCACAGTGCAGTAGCCCGACATGTTACTGCTTTGTGCCCTTCCTAGCTAGACGTGCACTTGTGCCTTCGTGCATCATGACAGGCTGCTGGAAGGCACCACTGGAGCCCTGCTAAGAAATTTAGGGAAGTATTTTTCCCATTCCATACTTTGGGGTTTCCTTGTGTTTGCTTGTGTGGCCTGGCATACTTTTCCTGAGGACAGGAAGGAATTTGCCATACAGGTATGGTAAGCCCTGTCTATACTCCTTCATGTCAGAGACAAAATATTCAAGCATGAGCTTTGGGGTGAGGACCACTGCAATAGTAATGTTCTATTAATGGATACTTTGAAGGCTTTAAAGCCAGAGAAAGGCAAAAGGTGTATCATTTCGGTGTATATTTCCATCACAACCTGATGCCTTCTCCATTTCAGAACAGAAGAGATAGCTGCAAGCTGTCTGGTTTAACAGCATCATTTCATGTGGCGAACTGGTCCCTCCCATATCCCTGTGCTCTTCACTCCAAAACTGTAAAACAGCTGCAGGGCAGAAGGAGAGCCCCTGCGTGTTCAGGGATGTGACTGCCCTGTCTTTTCTTGCAGCTCATCCTTGCCACGTGGGAAGGAGGCTACAGCTTGCAGTGTCAGAACCTGCACAGCGCGGGGGAAGCCGACATCCGGGTGAGCAGCGCCGCAGGCCGCAGCGCCAGGCCTGCGGCCACGCACCACACCTGGGCTCACACCAGGGGCAAGGAACACCTTTGGCACGGGCACTTTGAAGGGGTTGCCTACTTGCTCACGGCCAATGGGAAACTGGGATTTTTTTTTTTCTGAATCACCACCTTTTTACAGAAAACATAGCAAGGAGTAGTTCTAAAAGCTGTATATCAAGATCTGTGATCAAAACAGTGCTCCATGACTATTAGACCAGAAAACATGAGTCATCCAGAATTTTTGAGAAAAATCGTATAAAATGTAACATCTGTTGAGCTCTAGCTGTAAATGGATTCAGGCCCAATTCTAAACTTTGGAAATGAGCTCTGAAATGAGCCATTTTGCTGCCTTGGCTTATTTTCATTTCATACTTTATTTCTACCTCACAACAGTTCTGTGCATTAACCGTCTGTTGTTCCCTGCTCTTGGGGCTAACTCTCCAGATACAGTTGGAGCTTGGCCAGAAGGACTAGATAACTCATATCGTTTCCCCTAACACCACCCCTACCAAATTTGCCTGTGTTTTGGTACGTAGTCGCTTAAATGCATTTTCCCATCAGCAAGATGCTTTCCACCTTTCTGTTTTAACTGTCCTTAAACCTTCTGCTCATCATCATCTTAGCGTTCTGCATCACCAAGGGTGGCTGCAGGCTACATACAGACATTTGTGCACTTGTGGTGCCCTTGGTCTAAGCCACTGCAGTGCTGGCAAAGCAAGTATCATTTGCTTCCAGCTCAGCAGATGCACATTATGATGCTCTGTATAATACTTGGGGCTCTGCAAAATTGTAATGTCCTGGGCCATATTTTGAGCTCTGATAAACTGTTTCAGCTCTACAGAGACACGATGGCTTATTCCATTGTGTTGAGTCTCAAAACTGAATTGTTTAAAAACAAGCAGTTGCCAGCATAGTGTATGCAGTGACAAGGAGCTGTGTATGGCAGCACTTTTAAGAGACTCTCTGTTTGATAATAAATTATTAGAATAGTTAGAAGAGCCTTCGTCAAATTTTCTATTTCCTAAATTATAGCTAACAGGACAATCACAAAAAAAATAAAGATGAATTTTCTCTAAACTGCCTCATTCTTAAAGAGAAAAAAGTTGAAGTCAGAACGTGTGCTCCTCTTATTTGCTTTCGTTCTGTGGGCTCTG